TTTTTTTGTATTCTGCAATATTTTAGATCTATAAAAGAATAGCTGGCTATATGTTTAAAAAAAAATTCGCCATTTGTAAAATTCGTAAATGTTGTGTTGTGAAGCGATATTTATTCATACAAGAAATAAATTATCGTATCAATGTCAAAAACATTGTATGTGGAACCACGAGTCAATATAGCCGTCAGCCTTCGGCTTTGGGTTTCTAACAAACTCTCGTTAGTAATTTCTTATTAACCGCCCTTACCACAATGTACTATAAACATCAAAATGAAAACAAAAAAGATTTTAATTAACTACAATACTGCAATGTACTTGTTAAATATATACTAAAGAACTACATATTCATAGAACCAGAAACAATGCAATCAAGCAAAACAGCATAATCGATATGTTCGATATTTTCAGTACATTGACATTATCGTCCAAGGCCGTATACGCATTCATTTGAATACAATAATGCTCGATAATGCACTATTTCACAATGCAGCTATGGATGACTAATTGTAGTTTGTCGCAGATAACATCAAAAAATGTATATGTCAGAGAAATAAGAATTAACTATACGGAATGTCAATCCTCTATTTATGCGCAGCAGCCTTTTTAAATATTTTTTTCAGTTCTGTGCATTTACGCGCGCAATTTTTTTTTAGTTGAGTTTTTTTCCCATAGACAAGAATCTAAATTCAAAATTAGTGCTTTGTCAATTCTGTGGCTCTAGTGAAAAGGGGTACAAGTCAATAAAGCCAACTTTACAAGGAAACGCGAAAAACCTTAACGCTTAATATCATATTAAGTTTATTATATAATAAAATATTAGCTAAATTTCAAATTTCATGCATATCAGTTTAATTTTGTTTAATTAGCTTTTCCCGCTATACCGATTAATTCTGAAATACTGTTATAATTATTGTATTGTCCTCTATCTTTAATATTATCGAGAGTTTCGTCGTTAAGCCTGTTACTAGCGACCACAAAATAAAAGGGAATCTAATTATGGCAGCAGCATATACATACATTGATCCATAAAGGAATTTACGACTTTTGGCCGTTTGTTTTTGTTCCTCGATATATGTCAGGTTTATTTTGCATCAGCGGACAAGAGACGGGGACCCCTGCCCGCATTGCAGGATCTCAACCGTTTGGCGGGATGGGTCAAGCGCGCTGACCCTTCCCTCTTTAGCGCGAGAACGTCACGTAGTGGTGAATTTGCGGGATCCACAACACTTGGCCAAGAGGTAAGCCCGGGGGGTTTTAGTGGGTATGCCGTCCACCTGGGGGCTAGTCCCACAAAAATTTGAGTGAGCCCGGGGAGGCTCAAGGGTACGTAAAGCATTTCTCCCCCGTAAACAAAAAAAAATGTTTCTTTTGTGTAAAATGGTTATGAAGCAGACCGAAAACATGGAAAAAAGGTTTCTCTGGCCTTTGCTCAAAATGATACAGCCTTTCAGAGAGAAAAAGACTACATTATGACATTATTATTATGACTCAGTGCACCATAGTGTATTTTTGTCCTTGACCGCCTAAACGTAGACACCTCTACTTTCTGTCTAGCACATGTGAAACCAAAAAACAGATTTTAAGTCGAGGCTTTTTTTCTTTAATAGACCAGTCTGGTTAAGTCTTTCTCACCAAGCAGCATTAATCTAAAACAGAGAACACGAACCCAGCGTAAACACGTTCTTATTAATAACGAAATACAGCGAGCGAAATGAGCGAAGCTTTCTTGGCTGTCACTCAAATTTTTGTAAAAGTAGAGCTCCTTGTGTAAGGTGGCAATTACTTCTATTTCAATTACCTATTTCTGCAGCCAAGCAGTAAAGTGAGCGTTACTGCGTTCCGGTTTTGAAGGGTAAGGGTGACAGGCACATGCGCCTTGTCAATTTATGTCTCAGGGTGACAGAGCGCAGTGGAAATGCCCCTCAGATCTTTGCGATTTAAGATTTAAAATTCTTAGTGGCATTGCAACTGCACTGCTACAGACAGGTGTGTCGCTTACTACCAGGTGCACGGCATGTTTATCTCGTCATTTGATATCGTATAATAAAGATGACAGTCTGGGGAAGAGGCTATCTTCAAGTTGATACCAAGCCTGTCGTAAGGTTAAGATTAATTTTGCAATCTTGTTTAACAGGTCAGTCGCGGAATGTTCTCTTCGCAAAATGTCCCATAACTATTGTATTATCTTTCTTCATCTTAAATATATCCAAGGCCCGGTGGTAAAACCAGGTAGTTATCAGAGTCATAAAAACAAAAAGATAAATCTGTTTTCGCCAATAAAATGTAAATAATTTGCCACCAAATAACAATAAAAACAAAGAATTAAACGGCCAATTAACGATTAATGGAAACAATATACAAAGTCGATTGTTAATTTAATTACGTCGTAATACGAATTCAACCTTCGACCTCTCGTGACCCGATGAAAGGTCATGGGTGTCCCGATTGGCTTCGGGATTAGACAAGCCTTGACTGGTATCTAGATCAGAAGGATTTGCGCAAAAGAAGGTCGGCCATTCACATGAAGAAAATTTGTACTGCATTGCTTTAAGTGTGGATTAAGATCTCAAACGCCAACCCATTATATTTTCCCACGATGTACACGGACACTTCTTTAAGGAGAGGGTTTAAGTCCTGGCTAGAGTAACACATATCGGAGTCTTCACACGTTAAGTTTCTTCGAGAAGCAGGTTGTATCATGAAATGAATGAAATATTCTTTATAGCTCATACAAAACTACAATGGAAACGCAGAACAGTATTTTAAGAGTCACAGAATAAGCTAATGTACAACAGGCGGACTTATTGCTATGTAGAAATTTCTTCCAGGCATTTTTTTATCATACTAAGTAACGCACTAGGGAAAACCCTGTGCCATGAACACACATACACAACCACAAATTACACCCAAACTCACGAGAGAAATAAATGTAGGCCATACAAATATTTGTCCCGGCCCGAGAATCGAACCCGGGACCTCTGCGTGGCAGACCAGCATGGTAACCATTCGGCCAAAGGCTTTTATATTATTTCGATACCTCAAAAGAACGCTACGCCAACTTAATTTATTGGTAATTTTCTGTTATTTTTGTAAATAGCCATATTTATTGATTGACTAATATTTGCTCCCTGAATTTCGTGGAAAAAAAATAAAGAAACAAAAAACAAAATTCGTAAAAAAAATCACAAAAAAACGAATTATGTGAAACAAAATAAACAGAAAAGAAAATAAAAACAGAACAGGTCCAAAAATTTACGTGGCGTATTGTTCTTTGGAGATATCGATATAGAGAGGCGGTTAAAATGTAGTACACCTGGATAAAAAAAAATATTATTTATTATTCACTAGCATATAAAGTCACATGTGATACGTCTAAAGTGCTTTTTGTAACAGGAAAGTCAAGAAACGGTCATTATCGGTCCACTTTTCCTAATTATTAAATAATATTTTACGATACAATACTCGAATATTAAATAATATTGTACGTTAAAAATTCGAATACTTAAATAACAAAAATTTCCACGGAAATTAGGTAGTGAATACTAGTTCGAGAATGACCGAAAAATAATACGAATTGCATCAAACAAATTATGTATATTTGACATTTTATAATCCTTCTATTCAGGCACAAAACATTTATTAAGTAATTTCTTTCGTAGATCTTTAAAGCACTCTTCTGAAAAATTGTCATTTTGCAAATGTAGCCCGAATTTATTTGACCCAGTCTTAACTACTCCTGAAAAATCAAGAACATTTGAATTCCTTCTGGAAAAAAATTGATTTTGTAATGCTAAAGTTATATTATAATGGATTGCATTCTCAACTATTTAAATTAAATTTAAATCTGTACCACTACCACGAGTTTACTATAACAATTGTCGCAAGCGCCCGCGTATATTACTTCAGAATTCTATATGGCAAATCATACAGCGCCTCTAGTGTTCACAAGAAGATACAATATTTTGTATACAAACATTTTATGCAGTCGCAAGGGATAACTGTCACTGTCACTGTCACTGGGGCTATGTTGAGTGTGTGCGTTATTTATTTATTTATTTATTTATTTATTTACTGTTCTACTAGCAGTAGAGCTCCTTGTGAAAGAAATCGTCCAGGTAAGCACTCTACCTAAAACGAGGCTAAGTGCCAAATGGTCAAATATCTGTTTTAAATAGCAAAGGATAGAGCAGAAAATTCTCTTGTAAAAACAGTTAAAATTAATGTGTTCGACTTATCGAAACTTATCCTAACGATGCATAGCTGAAATATCTATTAAACAATTTAAATATTCTAACACTGCGTTAAGGGTTTTTAAGATATCTCAAAAAACTATTTTGTCACTTAGCCTTAGTTAGTGGACGGCAGTCTGCCGCCAATCAGTAATGTATATATATAGTAATGTATATAACTTCGTCCCGGTTTTGAAGAGTAAGCGCATTTGTGCACTGCATCCAATTAGATTCTTTCCAATTCCGAGACTATACAAATCTAGAAAAATCGGACTCACTACGAATATCGCTTGTACACCTAGAGATAAAAAGATCCCTGTAATATTTGGGATTGTCATTACTTGGATTCGGAACTGACATACTGGTGAAATTACAAGCGCATGTGACTTGTCAACTTATGTCTCAGGGCGTCAGGCGCAGTGGCAGTGCCCCTCAGATCTTTGCGATTTAAAGCTCTGAGTGGCACTGCAATTGATATGGACAGGCGTGTCGCTTACCACCAGGCGCATGACTTGTTCGTCCCGTCTCATTGTAGAGGCACTGATGTGTAATTGTCAGCAAAAGTAATTAGATTTATTTTTCTCACAGCAATCTGCAATGTTTTAGGACTAAATACTACACAATGCACAACGAAACCGAATCGCGAATCGATGCTCCGATTTAAAAATTTCAAAGTGGTCCAACCACCCCCGCCGCATGAGCTTAAGAAGGGGTGCCCCTATATAAAGCGAAAGTAGCGTACACGACCTACTCCATACGTACATATTACGCGCGCGTGTGCCGTGGCCTTAACCATTCCAATTTTAATTAACACATATTCTTTTTAATTTTACTTTTTAAAATAATATTGTTTTTTAAATTGTGAGTGATGTTGCGACAGTGTATCGTTTTGGCCGTGGTCGGGTGTGCGCTGGCGGCGCCTCAGCATCAGTACCAACCACAGCAACAAGTGAGTACCTTTTTGCAGTACGTACTTCCATATACAAGGCTCTATTACCAAGTAGCAATAGAGTCCTTGTGAATTCATCCAGGGAAGCCGTAAGCGTTACTGGTTATGGTGAAACTACAGACATATGACTCTTGTCAAGTTTGTGTTTCACGATGACGGGCACCGTGGCAGTGGCCCTTAGATCTTTATGATTTTAATGCTTTGGGTAGCACTGCAACTTTCAGCGTATGACTTGTTAGTCCAGTCACTAGATATCATAAACAATAATGTGTATAATGTTGACAAAAAAAAAATGACCGTACCCATAAAAAATTGGATGTCCCTATGAAGTATCTACACACAACCACATCGGAAAGTAAATTTCGATGGCACTTTGTTGCCCAGGGACTGTGAGCTAGGTAAGAAGGTCGCGGCTTTGATTGACTGTAGGATCATTTTGAAAAGCGAAAACTATTCCTAATTGGATATATGTAGGTGTGCAAACTTCCATAGAGTTAATATCGATGCTCTGGTATTCATAGAAAGGGAAAATCCTTAGTTTGAGACAGTAATAAAGAATAATAAAAGAGTAATTGTTAAAAAAAGAACTATATACTTGAAAAGAACCAAAACAAAAATCGGTGACGTTGGTGAAAATGTGGCCAACCTGAATTAAATGAAATATGGAATTGGGTCGGACACGTCTGCCGCTGTGGGCAAAGACCACCATATAGTGGATTCCACCCTACGCAAGCCCAGTAGGAAATGGCGTGACGAACTAGATTCTAATATTAGATCTTGGCCTCTAGCGGCATTCTATCGTGATAAATGGCTGAAATGAAGTCTTTGGCCTGCCTGCAGTGGAATAATAACGGCAGAAGAATAGAAGAATGAATCAAAATACATTGAAATCCTATAAATAATAGAAAGATTTTTGATAAAGTAAATGGATTAGCTCTGGACCACTACCTGGCCATGGAGCAAAGATAGGATCCACGGTGGATAGAGCTCGCCCAAAAGATGCCTATTCAATCGGATCTTAAAGATACTCGGGTTGTATGCGACTGTCGCAGATAGGGAATTCCATTCCTGAGCTATGCGCATAATAAAAGATGACGAAAAGCGCTTAGTACGCCTAAAGGGAATATCGACCAAGTAAGAATGATGTCCCGCCGTATGTCTGGATGTCCGTTGGTAAAAGACGGCGGGCGGGATAAACTGATGGAGCTCATGAGCATTCTCACCGAAATAATTATATTCTGTAGAAAACCGACAGGCGGGCTACTTTGCGCCGGTGGACTAAACTATGAAGTTTAGCTTCGAGCTTGTCGTCGCTAATAAGTCTCCTGGCTCTGCATTCAACCGAATCATTAACCTCAAGTTTCGCCGAGCCACCTCACAGGTGACTGCAATACTCCATGCAAGTTTGTATAAGTCGAAAAAGAAAATATTCGAAATTTAATGAATTGAAATATGGCCTACAATCTAACATCATAATCCCACTGGAGAAAACACGTGGCCAACAGTGTACCCTGTATAAATGTAATACACTATCCAAGCACTAAATATATATAATATTCGTCATTATCATTAAGCTATTACACGTCTCACTGCTAGGCACGGTTCTCTTCTATAATACTACCATATTATAATACGGTGGCGTCACAATGACGCCATTATATTCTAATTCATAAGTTGTCGATAATATTGGTAACGCTGACGTAATTTTAATTCAAATCTATAGAATAGATTTTTGATTCAACACAAACAGTCATAAACAGGATGCAGGGAGGTGATAGAAAACATCATTGACTTACAATTATATGGACGTCGGGTCCGCGCTAAAAAGTGTCCGAACTTATAGGGCGTTAAAATCGTATGCAGAGCGTCATTCACGCTTAAGTCTTCGTTTGTTCGACTGACAACGAAGCAAGCAAAATTGGACAGTACTGCGATGACATTACAATTTAAATTCAACGTTTTAGCTTTTTCATATTCCTTTACATGTCACTGCGTTTAAATAGGTTGACTTGGGACATTTTTTTCGTGGTTTTTGTATTAGACCCGTCGTCCATTTATTTGTAAGTCAATGGAAAACATTGATTAAATAAAAACACTTGAAATTCTACTAACAAGTTAAACAAGAGTTTAGCCAGCTAGTATTGTATGAATAGCTAGACTTAAAACAATTTGTCAAAATTTTTTTAGATCACAAATAAATTTAAAATAACAGCTTCTCTTTCAAGTATGTAAGGATAAATATCTAAATTATTTAAATTTTTTTTATAGAAATCCATAGAACACACAGTACCTGTATGTGTTACGTCTAGTTACCATACAACAATAAAAAAATATATCGAATGATATAAATTTAATAACGATCTTTGTCTTCTTCTTCTTTTCAACTTTCGGTCCACCCAATGCTGACGGTCTCTTCCAACATACGTCATTAACCTCCTGGACAAAGGCGATCTTTATAATTGCGATGATAACAAAATCCCGGACGCCATGGGTTGGACGCAGGAACGCCACGTGTCTTCGATACGTTGACGCCGTCTCATCGCCATAACACCAGGAAGAAGGTCACGGTGGACTGATCATGGTCACCATAGTTTCATTTCGCGAAAACCTAAGATCTCAATTATGTAAGAAAATATTTAACCAGCCGTGAAATATGGTAACACTACCTTATCCAATATGTTATCGTACTTTTACAAAGCTAGGAATGCTGCCTTACGACATTTAGATTTTCCACCGTCAATATATACTCATACAAATAATAAATTTAGCATATCTGGTTTATAAAAAATTATTGCTACTGCGCCCTTCACCCTGAAGCATAAAGTTGATAAGTCCCATGTGCCTGTAATTTCACCGTTTCACCGTTACGCGGCAATGTAAGTTGAGCTTTAATATGTACAATCAATAGCACAAGCGACATTCGAGCAAAAGTATATTTCGAATATCGCCTCCAGATCAACGGTACAAGATCCGTCAATGTGTAACTTGACGTGCTGCCGCCTGTACCAACAGCAATAACCAATAATTTACATAAAAATAAATACAGCATAGCCATTCACTTTTTTTTTCATGTGTACATTTATTGGAATGCCAAATCAAATTTGCAATTAAATAATAACAACAGAATGTATTGCAAATGTTGTTTTTATCGTAATTTTGAACGATTTACATGCAAATCACAAGAATGGTTTCCTCAGTGACAAACGCACGCGCAAGCGCTTCAAATTAATATTGATCACGCAATATGTGAAATAATGTACGATAATTACTTAATTATTCACTTACGTTTTTGAGTTGTTATAATTACTAAGTAAATAATTTGGAATAAATTCTACCTTATATACTAAAAACCAATAAATATTTAATAGTATGGAGGAGTTTAATCAGGAACCGGAACATGTTATCATTATATTATGCGCTTCATCATGTGCAAAAATTAATTGATATTGCATGCAGATAAAATAGAATTTATAATTGTGAATTATTAATTCTAACGCTACTATGTTGTTATTAAATATTTTTGGTCCCTGGATTTAACCTGGATATGACTAAATTCAACCAAAAACAAAACATAGTTTTCCCATGTTTAGGATTCGATGAACCTGACTAACTAGATTCAGGTCATCAGTCATAACCGAGATAACGCTTGCTTTTCATTCTAGCGTGCTCTTTAACCGGTGGTAGCTCAGATTTCAATGGTAGACAGTTCGAATCTCTGTGGTGGCACGTATCTATGACTTCCTAAATTACTTACATTTGTGAATATTTTGTGGCAGTACCTCTTGCTGGCTAGCGGTGAAGAAGGCTACCGACCATTGTTTATTAAAGAAAACCTTCTTACTTTCCCCTCACTATATATATATATTTAATAGAGATATTTAATAAAGAGTTTGAGAAGGAGTAATCAACTGTAAAAGCTGACATAAAAAACGAAGCAAATGACAATTTATTCTTAAAAAAATTAAGGAAATATTTAAGGAATAAAAGCTATTATAAAATTGAAACACAAATAAATAAATAACATAAATAAATAAATAATGTAAAAATATTTCAACAATTATACTCCAACTGAACGCGCGATGAATCAAATTATAAATACCATTGACTTACAATTATATGGACGTCGGGTCCGCGCTAGAAAGTGTCCGAACTTATAGGGCGTTAAAATCGTATACAGAGCGTCATTCGCACTTTAGTCTTCGTTTGTTCGACTGACAGCGAGGCAAGCAAAATTAGACAGTACTGGGATGACATTACAATTTAAATTCAACATTTTAGCTTTTTCATATTCCTTTACATGTGACTACGTTTAAATAGGTTGACTTGGGACATTTTTTTCGTGGTTTTTGTATTAGACCCGTCGTCCATTTATTTGTAAGTCAATGATAAATACTTAATAATTAATTGATGATGAGTTTATATACATGTAATTTGACGAATTCATAATATTAATTAATACATTCTCTCGACCTTCTCCATGACGTTTTTTGCTTTAGTTTTAGAATTTATTTTGACATAAATCTTTAAATTTTGTCATTTTTTGTTTACGCCTCTCAATTCCTATTCTAAAATTTTTATTTCTTTATGTTATTCCATTATATTTTCTTATATTGTATTCAATATCGTGACTTGCAGTGCCCTATTCAGGGTCATGTACTACACTCTAGTCGTAATGTAACACATTTGTAACACGTGACTATGTACATGTGACAATAAATAAATAAAAAGAGGTTTACAACTTTTGGAAAAAGTGTGAACCCGCATATTGGTGTGAAACCTCTATAAACCCTCTTCGTAGAGATATGTAGATACCGACAATTTAAAATTAGCAACCAGTAGTGGTGTATTGCACAAAATCTTTAAAATTGGTAACAGCTGGTCAATCAACTATTAATTAGGGAAATGGGCCGGAAAATGACCCAACAAAACGCCTCTTTTGCATAACGCGTCTGCGACCGTGTGTGGAACATTGCGCTTGTTATTAGGGTTGACAAAAGAACTTAAGCTACTTGTGTAAAGTCTTGCGTATCATACTTTCTTAAACAAGTTTGGTGTCAGCATGTGTCCTTGTGGTACACCCTCAGATTTATACATCTAACAAAGATATTTAAATTTAAAATCAATTAAATTTGTTATTTGGCTGGCAATTTGTTAATTACCTACTACAAACTACTGCACTATTTTTATATATCATCGTCGTGAAACATCAAACAGAAGTGGGACAAGCATACATACTTGCGGTACTCCGCAATATTGGTATCCTTGAGGTGTACCACAAGGCGATTAAACGAATTAAGCACACTTAAGTGTCAACCCTATGCCAGTTATTGAAGGCAGCAAATTGGGCTTGCAACTGTAACAGTGGTTTCACAAGAGGCGTTATGTAACATTATTGTCGGTTACCAGGGCGATTGTTCTTGCTCTAGATGATGCGTGTTAGTGTGTGAAGTGGGACGACGATAAAACTCAGGCTGGTTTTTAGTCTAGCACCGGTTTTTTAATTGACTGGAAATTTTATTATTGATACTTAATTAGAAAAAGATTAGTGTTAGATAACTTGATAGTTTGTGGTTACTTAGAGGCATTACCATCATTATCCAAGGTTTTGCAGCTGCAGGTGAGCCTTTAACCGGATCAGTGAATTTCACCAGACTGCTATGTTCTCAGCTTTTCGTCTCAAATTTTTCATTCTTGTAGTATTGAGCTTGAAGCTGTTTGGATTTCTTTATCCATCGCGTTTCAGTTCAAGTTTAAACGTTGGGAGATTTCTAAAATTGTAGTGAACAATTGTTCATGCTACTTGATGATATTACGATTTAGCAATATAATGAAAGACTAACTGTAATAAAAAAACATTCAATAGATCTTACTGCATTAATTAAATTGTATAGTTTGGATTGGCAATTTTCTGTGCGAGTTTGTGCGTGAGAAACCCAATGTTTTACTTATAATGCCTTTAAACAAACTTGGTTAAGAATTATGACCTGTTTGTCATCTGTATTTCACGAAACTCTTAAAAGACACCTCATGATCTCATCGCTTAGCCAGTTTGAATTAAATTGAAATCTAATTGATAACTTTTGTTTCTTCAGCAGGCGGAAGTTCCCCCTCACCTACTGCGGCAGTACTTCGCGGCACAGCAGCCTGCTCAGACGCAGGTTGTCACGCGTCCTGTTGCCTCCGCTCCAGCTCGACTTGTAAGTACGAGACGACTGCTAACATTTCAAACTGAGTTGAGAGAAGTCGGTTTTACTTCAATTAGGATACTCCTATATCAAGACAAATATAATTCTTCGATTCGAAGGGATTGTTTTAGACTTACCCGTATCATAGTCTATCACGCCAAGCATGCGTCTATTTATTACATTTAAAACACGAGTAGATAGATACTAGGTAGTAGGTTATTGACTAACTAGGCAATGATATTGTTTTTAAACGCAAGTAAATAGTAAAACTTGAAGTTATGTATGTTTGTTGCTAAAGCTTTTCTGTTACAGCCTTACGTCGTCCAGAATGAAGAGCAGCAGTACGTCCAGCCACAACAGTACAGGCCAGCACCCCAACCTCAGTACAGGCCAGCACCCCAACCTCAGTACAGGCCCGCTCCTCAGCCGCAGTACCGTCAACCTCAGGCCGAGACCCGTGACCCTCAGGAAGACTATGACGTAGGCATTGAACATTTTTCTTCTGTTAGGAGCGATATTACCTTCCCTTTACTGTACGCTCTATCCTGATCCTCTTTATACAATAGCCTACATTACATTATTGTCGATCTCCAGTAGGTATCTATTGCTTTCGATCTAAATTTCCAATGTCTTTTATTAACATAGCGTGTCACGTTAGATGATCCAACATATTGCCATTACGAACTCATGGTGAGTCCAAATTTGTCGGAGAAAAGGAAGTGATGCAAAGGAGGCGGCGCATTAAAAGAGCAAAACCCGTTCCGGTAACAACAAGTGATCCAACAAAACCTGAACGCGCTCACAGATAACTAGAGCGCCTATGGCTACCAACGCTAGCCGGAACCAGTTTTGTTCCGAGATTCGGGAGAATGCATGGGACAGACTGTGGAAGGTTATCAAATGTAATACAGAGCTTGGCATGACATGTGTGGGACTGAAAGCTGTCCGGGGTAACATCCTGTCCCCAGAAGAACTAACGGTTATAGCATTTCCTCATTATTGACAGCACACAAGTGCTTTTATACGCAATGTACCGATAATACCTCTTCCTAATGTTCATTTTATACGAAGAAGTTTATGTGAAATCAAAGTCCAATCGATAGAAAAAATACTGCATTTATTAGGCCCGGTCACACACATTCTGCCAGCTTCGTTATACCTTCAACGTCTAACCTAGAGAAATCGAGCGTAAAAACGCTGCTGAATCTACGCACGCGCATATAAGAGACAATGACTATTGAGCTCAAATACGGGCTTGTGATGTATTTCAACTTCTCATCATGAAAGGAAAATTACGCACGTTCGAAATTTCTTCGGCTAGTTCCCTAGCTAGATAGGATATTTCTTGTAATAATCCCAAAGTATACAATGTGTTATTTTATGTGTTAATTACATTAAACGAACGCAGTCTTGGACACAGTAGGTACGATTGAACAGTTATTTAACCAAGCGATATCGTTTTACATCAAGTGAAAGTAACTAACTATTAATCCATCCTAGTAGCTATAGTATATTTTATTATGGAAATAGCTTTCAAGCAAGTTATCGACTTCCTTGAGATACTTCCTTATTTTCTGCCGTTAATTTGTAGAATAAACTATAGGTAAGTACAAACTATTTGGTTCTTTAGTGATGCTAATATACTTCTAAACGTATCAGATAATCCCTTATCTATTCATACCTTGCAAGCACTAGTAGGAATGAAATCCATTGCTAACTAATAGTCCAATTAAAACCAATTCCAGATTCTTCATTTGCTAACATTCACGATATTGTCTCGTAGTACCACAAGTGCTTGACTGCTGGGTCATTTCTTGCAGCTACAAACAAGAACCAATAACCTTCCTTTGAGTTCCTTGTTAAAGAGTTCGTCCAGGGAAGTACTGCCACCTTACCTATGGCTGCCGCCAAGCAGTAGTTTGAGCATTATTACGTTCCGGTTATGAACGGTAAGGGTGCTGTAATTACAGACACGTGGAACTTGTCAACTTATGTCTCAGGGTGCAGTGGCAGTGCCCCTCAGATCTTTGTTGATTTAGAGCACTGAGTGGTACTGCAACTGTTATGGGCAGGCGTGTCACTTACTGCCAGGTGGGCGACTTGATCATCCCGTCACTTGGTCTCATAAAAAAAGCAAACACCGACCGTATAGAACCGTACGTCGTCATTTTGTGTCGGGACGACAAGAAGAACCAAAACCGTCACCAGCAGTTGTCATCTGACATGATTGCGCCCATATGGTGATATGGGCATAATCATGTCAGAAGCCACGAGTTGGTGAGTGTGTTCAGAGTTCCACGCCATCCGACCGTTTGACCATGAGCCCATATCATCAGCTGTAGTCAGGTTTCTTTCTCCAACTCGGTGCGAGATTTTACCCGTATCATTAAGATTAGAAACCATGGTAAGATGGTGGATTCACCATCCGAACATGGTCCTACCGCGACTTCTCCAGCCGTTTGTTTAAGTATTCGCATTAGAATAACTCCTTTCTTTTTTTGCTGCAGCCTCATCCTTCATACCAGTTCGGATTCGACGTGAACGACGACCAGTACACCAACTACCAGAACCGCAAAGAGCAGCGCGACGGTGACGTCATCAAGGGCTCTTATTCCGTTGTCGACAGCGATGGCTTCATTAGAACCGTCACCTACACTGCTGATCCTAAAGAAGGTTTCAAGGCTGAGGTGAGTGCTAGAGCCTTAAACCTTTGATGGAAAACAACCGAGCACAAAGGATGTCCTTGGGTGATGTGAATAAAAATATCGTATCATTTTTCAGGTATCTCGGCAGCCCACGGACATTGTGGTTAAGATTCCGACGCCCAAGCCGCAGTTGCAGCAAATTGCGCACGCGCAGCCACAGCCGCGGCCACAACCCCAGCAAGCGCCGCAGCAATACTACCGTTATGAACAGTAGATGTTTACTTGTAGTAATCTTAGATTATAATACCTTCAGTCTTACTTCGGGTTAATTTGTCATCTTAAACATATTTTTCTCTAAAGCAGCCGACCGTCTACTTTTAAACATTTTAACTGAAATTATTCTGTTTTATAGCCGAATGTAAAAGACCTAATTTTTACAACATGAACAATGACGTCAAATGTTACTTATCAACTTTAGTTATATCGATAGTCACAAAATTCGAAAACATTTTTGAGAGACTTATGATATAAATAAAAAATATATTACGTACAATATAAAACTTCATAACCGTTTTACATATGTAGGTATAATATCATTGGTTTTACATGGCGAAGATAATTTTGTCATATTACGAACAACGTGCCTAATTTTTTTAGTATCTTGTTGTGTCTCAAAAATGACATTTCGAATTTAGTCATTGTTTTCTATATTAACAAAGTGCCACCTAATTCTACTATATCCGAGAAAAAGACGGGTTGTGGCTTTTCATTCGGACGTTCTTGCTTTTTTGTTTCATTCTTATCTATTTCTAATTTCTTACTTTATTTCTTTTTCTTCTTACTTAAAATTGTTCTATCTTCTCATTTTAAGCTCTAAAAATTATTTTCTTAGTCCGCTTCTTCTATCTCAGATGCAGGCTTACTGTGGAATGGAAGCTAAGTTTTATAACCACAGCATAATGAAACTTATGTCTAAAAAACACACACACAACAAACCGTCTTCCGGACAATTTTCGCGCAATCTCGGAAATTCTCGTAGCTACCGTATCCAGTTTGTACGTTACACTATTCGATATAAAGTTTATTATGCTTTGTACTGGTTACTTGCTTCCATTCCATTCAACAGTAAAGTTAATATCATGCTCACGTCTGTAGAGATAACTCTCGTAATGTCATTTGAGAATATCTCGTCTTTACCCTCATGCTAAGTCTGCTGGTACTATTTAAGGCCTATACAGATATAAGCGTTATTCGCTGCCACTGTGGGTAGCGAAATTCGAGTGGGTACGCGGTATTCCCACTGTTCACAACTAATACCCACTAGCCTTTTGAGATGAAGTCTGTGCAAACGGACTGATCCGTCACAGGTTATAGTGCCCTTCTCGTATACCCTCAAGGTCGCTAGGGAGGGTCACTATAATAAAAAACTGATGTAGAAAAGGACGGATTATTAAGCTAATTAAGTCTGTGCAAAGGAGGTAATTTGGGGTCAGGGTCTGACTGATAAGGTCCCTGTACAAGCTTGCTTGTACAGGTTATAGTACCCTTCTCGTATACCCTCAAGGTCGGTAGCGAGGGTAACTATAATCAAAACTTAATTATGTAGAAATGTCTGGGAATGTTCACACCTAAGCGGATATCGCTACAACATTATCATTTATTATTATGGCAATTAATTGTCCCTAGCTGACTTGCGGGGTGTGCGGGAGTGATGAATTTGCCACCGCATCGTGCCACAAGTTTCGCTCTTGCCATGAAAATTCATACAAATACCCAGCGGGATGCCTTGCGATATTTTTCACCACCCAGTGGTAGGGAAAATGATTATGTCTGAACAGGCCTTTATTCAATTAATCTTATACGGTATTTTATTTAACTAATTAGGCAACTAAGTCCATATTTATAAGTCGTAGTTGTACACACTGATTCCTATAAGCACAATTATCTATAGTAGTTATTGTGATATCTATAGTTATTTTAAGATGGTATACGAATATACGTAAATAGGGGATTTTAATACAGATTTTGTAAATTATTTTTCTTATTGCAGTATAACTGGAAAATTGCAATTAAATAGAAAATAAAAATTGACAATTATGAAAATATTGTTGTCATTTTCCCGAAAAAAAAAACATTTCTAAAATCGTTTTTTATTTATATCTTTGATACATTTGTTGTTCAATAACTACATAATTCACATTATTTTATTAAAATTCAGGTCTTAATATATAATCGTCAACGAAATTTTACAACTACATCGATGCATTCAAATTTTAAATTAAAATAAATAATTTTATAACAGTTTGCAGTAATAAATATCTATAAAATAAAATTAACAATAATAAATTCAGTCTAAGAACTAATTTTAATTATAGAACCGTAAAATAGTCAAAAATGTTGAGGAAGTTTTCGACGATTTTACAGATCTCCGGTTTTTTTTATTCTACAATTTAAATAAATTTGACAACGGAGTAATACTTCAATAAATGCATTCATAAGTACTTTATGGCCTAAGGAAAATACATTGGAAATTATGAGAAATAAAATTAGAATAATTTACAATTCAATTATACTAACCCAATGCAGGTGTTTTAAATGCCGTTATTCAAAAAACGAGAAGTTTTCGAATCACATTTTGTACAATCCTGTTTTCCTACAACTGTTGGGATACTTTAAACACAAATTAATTCAAGAGTCGCATATGAAACTAAATATTGTAATAACTCAACATTGTGGAATGTGAAATAAAAACACGATTTGGAAATTTTTAAAAAAACATGAACGGATCTTATTGATAAATAATGTAATCATAATCTTTTAGGCCATGGGAAAAGCGAGAGTCTAAAATAGATATTTAAAATAATAATACCGCTGTATCGCGGGTGCCACGGACACACTAAAACAACCACAAATTACACGAGAGAAATAAATGTAGGTCATATAAATATTTCTCCCGGCCTGGGAGTCGAACACGGGACTCTGCGTGGCAGACAAGTAATAACCGTTTGGCCACGGAGGCAGTTATTTATACATTATCCATTTGTGAATGAGAATTTATTGGTTTCATTGGGTAACATTTTGAACTTTCAAATCGTGTCTTTTCAATTTCACAATTTTGAAGTTACAACAGTGTTTATTACTTTCATATGGGATTTATCACTTAGAATATACCTTCCAATATCATTGTATCTTGTTTACTATTTCCTTGTTTTTCGTATATACCAAACGTTGGAGAATAAAAGAGGACCCTCAGTAGAGGGTTACCATGTTTTCACTCCGAAGGTGAGTAGTCCACAAGCCAGTTCGACCCTCCGACCTATGAAGGATCGGGCCGGCAGACGCAGCCGGACTCGACAAGCACGTAGTCCTGGCCGGTAAGCGTGACTGGGCCGAGAGGCAGTACTAGGAACAAGTATGGGACGTACGTCTGGGTGCATGACCCGCGTACCACTGAGCATTCGCTTGATCTGAAAAGTGAAAACAAGTTTTATATGAAATCAGAATTTAGAACATGTAGAATACACTTAAACAAGTCGTTTGCCTGGCGGTAAGCGACACGCCTATCCATAACAGTTGCAGTGCCAGAGCTTTAAATCGCAAATATCTGTGTCCTGATATTGATTCAAATCGCATCCGAGCGGGTAGTCTCGAAATCAGATGGGTTTCTGCGCGAGAAGATGAATCTGATTCTTACTATATCTTTCTAATTTTTGAGTTAAATCAACTATTGTTACGATTAGAAATGTCGAAAGTATCCGATCGGCCAGTTGTGAATCGCCACTGCCACTGCGCCCGTCATCTTGAGATATAAGTTAACAAGTCAGAATCAACGCGTCGCGTCGCGTCGCGTCGCGTCCTGTTTTTCAACTACAACGCTTGGCGACTCGCATTAGTGCGCCCGGATCACAGTGTAATCGGCACCTGACACCTCACTACGTTTAAGTGACGCGCGGAGCTGCTCGACGGCATCCAGGCGTCGACGCGCGTCATAATGGGAAAATAGAGATGAATATACATTGACTTACAAATAAATGGACGACGAGTCTAATACAAAAACCACGAAAAAATGTCCCAAGTCAACCTATTTAAACGTAGTGACATGTAAAGGAATATGAAAAAGCTAAAACGTTGAATTTAAATTGTAATATCATCGCAGTACTGTCTAATTTTGCTTGCTTCGCTGTCAGTCGAACAAACGAAGACTAAAGCGTGAATGACGCTCTGTATACGATTTTAACGCCCTATAAGTTCGGACACTTTTTAGCGCGGACCCGACGTCCATATAATTGTAAGTCAATGTGAATATACTATAGTATAAGTACTGTAGTAGTAGTAGTACTGCGCCAGTGTGCGTTGAGCCTTACCCTTCAAAGCGGGAACGCAGTAATGCTCACATTACTGCTTGGCGGCAAAAGGTGGCAGTAATTCCCTGGCTGAACTCTTTCACAAGGAGTCTTCTGCTGCTATTAGAACCTCTTAATCCTAACTACCCTATTTTGATTAACATACAAAATGGCAAAACTAAACCCTACTAATAAAAGTATAAGAATAAAGCGGGAGGCAGTTAAAAACAACTCTGAATCTCCGCCATTTTTAAATCCGTATGACTTTGTGAAACAAATCGATATGAAATTCCTTAGACGAAGCGAAAATCTAAGCCATTTAATTATAAAATATGTATTATACAAAAATCAAATAAAAAGTGTAATCAAGTGAATAAAAAAATGCTTGGATTTAGTCGTTTTTGCTTACTTATGTGTACATAAGTAAGCAAGCCGTAAATCGACTCTATCAAAATTACAGGTAGAAATTGTCAAGCAATAGATGTTGGGTAATTGTCCGAAAAATTTGTAATGGTGGACATTATGCAAAATGTTCTTTTCTAATATTTTTTTTTATATTGTAGACGAGTCAAACCTAAAAGATATACAACCTATCAAAATACTTTGTTTAAAATTCCACCATATCTCATTTACTTGGCGTTGAAATTTACTGTTTAAAAATTATATAACTTTTTT